AATTGGGCTAAATGTAAAGTTAAAATAGGCTTCTTCTGTATAGTTTTTTCGCGGAATTGGAACATATGCATCTGTATAATATACACCATTACTCTTTCCTGTTGATTTTAATCTTACATATACATGTATATAAATTCAAATACTTTTTATTTTTGTAATCATAAAACATGTCATTTTAATGTTACTTACTGCTCATAATATGCAATTGTAGGATTAGTAGGGTAATATTCAGCAGTTGGTTTCCCAAATACTGTCAATTTCATTCATTTAATTAAATATTAAATCTGTTTCTCTTCATTAAGCAAACATTTATTTATGAAATTTTGACTAACAAGATGGATGGTACTCTCTTACTAGTGGTATAGTCGCTATATGAATGAATGTAGTTGATTACCTATTAAGCACATTAAAAACTGAATAAAAATTAAAAATATTTGCCTTTATTATATATATAAATAAGTTCGGGACCGCAGTAAATAGCGAAAGGAATCGTTGACCGTAGGCAGAAATCCTAAAGAATTTATACATAATTACATACGTGATCATTAGCGCCTTAAATTTAAGAATTATTATCAAATTACCACAGCAGTCTTAAACGAAGGTTCCCAAGTGTCCATAGGACCGAGAGATGTTGATGACCAGTCATAATTATAGGCCAATTCTATCATATCTACTTCAGCTTCCATGTTATTGTTAGTATAAATGATTGTAAAGGAGAAATTAACCTATTCTATGTTGATGAAAGTTTGTAAAATGTAAAATAAGTAGTTTCATAATAATTCGCATAATACTTATTAAAATTTGCGTAACACCACATAGAATTAAAACAACAATTCGATGTCCTTACGTAATGTTGGAACAAACAATTTATTTCTTACGTAATGTCAGAATAACCATAATTTGTTTCTTACGTAATGTTAGAACAAGAATAGTTTGTTTCTTACGTAATGTTAGAACAAGAATAGTTTGTTTCTTACGTAGTGTTAGAACAATCATAAATTGGCATAGCAGAAGTTCGTTTTGATTGGTTGTTAAGATACCCCGGAAAATGTCGATCATACCCGGATAGAGTACCGGCTAATCCCGGACAAAAATTTTATAACTTGCGAACTTTTAAAAAATTAGTCAATACACTCTAAAGACATATTATAATTTTACAATATACTAATTCAGTTTTGTATTAACAACTTTAATTTGGATTTTGCAAAGGTTTTGTTGTTTTTTTCGCAATAAATACATATAAATGTCTACTAAATAACGCGTACGCGACTATTCCTAACACTACCATTACTATAACTTATTGTATTATAAACGTTATATTCACAAACTATACTTGTATCTAAATAAATTATAATAAAAAAATATTAAAATACGGTTTAGAATAATAGTTTAAAATAATACTTTCACTTGTAAAAAACACAAACAAACTAGTTGAAGCAGAATCTCACAATTTCACTTACTAGTTGCTTAGATCACCGAACCACCTTCACGACCTTTCAAAATATTCACTTCTCATCTAGTTTCTTGAACTCCGTATCTTACTGTATCTCTCATTAAAAAACTGTAGGTTTAAAGTTGAAAAATAGGTTTCTTAAGTTTGTTGTTTCGCCACATATTACAAAAAAAAAAAAAAAATTTAATATGGCGTGACGATTTTTACTAATAGAAGTATTTTAAAATTTACAATTGACTGTATAAATAAATGATCATCGCCAATCATATTTATTAAAATTTTAGCCAATTAAACCGAACTTCTGCTATGCTTAAAGTTTGACCGTAATTATAGGCATTGTTCAAAAAAAAAAAAGTGCAGTAAGGAGTTGATTTTCCGAACAGGGTTTATATTTACCCATACTGTTTTCATAACGATGTTTGTACGAGATGTAAAAAATAGAAAATTCTTGACTGAAAATTTGCGTATAAAAAATGTATAAAAAACGCGTTCATCCAATAAACATCCTTTAAATGTTACAAAAAATTGAATAATTTCGGAAATTTCCGAATAATTCCAAGAGATATTTTTTTATAGGGTTGAGATTTGAAAACATTATACTGTTGAGCCTCCAAAATTGATCCTCTCAAAACCGATAGCCTGCCAAATTTGATAAAAAATTAGTCTACCAAGTCCGTTTCCGTTATATCAATATAATAGTTTATAACAGTGATGGTTGAACATGCCCAATTAAATTTTTTGATTGGACAGTTTTGGACGTGTCAAAAACCGTCCAAAGCTGTCCAAAATATTTTGAAATTAATAACATTGACGGGAAGAGAAAACCTGTAAATTTTAAAAATAGGTTATATAAAAATTCATAATTTATTTTTTAGGATAATATCCATATTTTTTGTATTTGAATAAATATATTTATTTATATTAAATCGGTGATAGAAAATAGTGATCTGGATATTGGAAGTAACGCTCAGAGGTGTGGTTCAAAATTTGGCCCGAATTAAACTTAATTCAGGAAAAAATTTTAAATAAACCCTGAGCACTATTTGAGCAAATACAAGATAATTTTGTTGGGAAATATTTGATTGGTCAGCGAAAATTATAAATAGATTATATGTTGTAAGTTGAATCCGCTTAGATTAGAATGGAATATGATACTAAAAATCCCAACTATAACCTTAAAAATTCCGAATCAACTTAAATTCTGTTCCCACATATGACATATTTGTCCAAAACCAATTAGATTTAGGTTTGGTTTTGGACAAAGTTTTAGACAGGTTTTGGACAAAATGTCCAAAACCCAAAACTTTCCAATTGTCCAACACTGATTTATAATATTTTCAAATCTGATAACCTCTCAATACTGATACAAAATCTGTCTACCATGCATATTGGTTTGGAAGTGGTAGACTAATTTTTTATCAGATTTGACAGGTTATCGGTTTTGAAAGGATCGATTTTGGGAGGTTCAACAGTATAAATGATTCCATTAAAATCTCTAATTTGTCTTTAACCAAAAAAGGATGCTGCCAATGACACCGTAACTCAGCTGAAAACCAATATCAATTAATTTGCTGGTTAGCTTTCATACGGTATTAAATATTTAAAGCGTTGTTTTTTTGTAAAATGAAAACGGTTCATTTCATTTCCTTTACATAAAGCTCGTTTGTAAATTCTTCAAACGTTACTTTTGAAAGTAAATGAAAAAGCTCTATTTTATTTTCACTTACATACCGAAGATAGTAAATTCTATGGCAGCCAGATATTTCTCATTATCCATATTATTTGCATAATCAAGAAATAGACAAATTATAATCTTTAATGGATACGCTGTAACTTACATGGCCCTTACGTAAGTTATAATATAGGCTGAATTTCTACCAGCATTAACATAAACTTGACCCAGCCTCAATGGCTAAACAAGTATTACGTAAATTTTTTATTAAAAAAAAAATTCCGTAATATATAGCATTTCCCAAATAGCGGCAAGGGCGTTATTACAGTCGTTTGCAAAATTTTATGGAAACATCACGAACTTTTTTTTATAAAATTATTAAGTAAAATGCTACATCAATCTACATAATTTTATATGACTTTACGTAATATCTTGCAAATATTTATGCATTCTATGGACCTTCAGTAATACTACACAAAAGGCTGCATAAATTTATATAAATTGTTAAGTGACTTTACGCTTACTTAAATTTATATCAAACAATTATATAATACTATTGTCACCTATGTAATGTTACGTAAATATAAGTTCGTGATGAAGGTGCAGATCACTATAGTATGGAGAATTTACGATATTTCCCAGATTTCCGGAGTTTTCAAGACCTGCTCTAATCGATTTTTAATTTTTACTAAGTAGAATTTCCACATTCTTCGATTTTCCACATCTTTTTGAAAACAGCTGTAAGATATAGTCTAAATTAAGTATAATTTCATCTATGGGAGTTATTTTTAGCTTATATAACTTAGAAATAATTTACGTACGTGTTTCTTTTATAATATGGCTTATTTTAAAAATTAAAAATAAAATAAACCTGTTGTCATTATTATTTTTGAAATATAAATCATTATACAGTTTCTAGAATTCTGTTCGATTAATCATATTTAACTAGGGCAAAACCATCTAGTGGGAGTATATATATATAAACATGTGTAAGTAAAATGGAATTTAAGTTTATCCGATAGTGTGAATACGTACTGTATGTACGCATGCATGTTTTATAAAATAATAATAATAATTATCAGTATACATTTTAAATTAGAGTTATTTTGCATTAGCAATTATTGGCTGAGTTAAGTTTAATTTAGGCCAAAGTTAAAATTTTTTTTTTTATGTCCAATAAAAAATTTACTATGCCCAAGCAAATTATTGGACAATTGAACATTGTCAAATGTCAAAATGCCCATTTAACCAAATGTCTAATATCGTAACATGCCATCTCTGCAAAAAACATTACCAAATTATTAATAATTGGTAAAATCATATTATCATATCGCCTGCTATTTAATTTGAACTGGACGGTTACGCTGCCCGCAGGTGCATTTCTAGTTGAACATAAATTAAAAAAACCCAAATTCCTAAAATTCACATATGACATTTTAAAACTGTTTATACTTTTCAAAATTAATTTTAAAAGGGTATTAAAAGTCATAAAAATTTAAATTTTATTATTAATAAAAGGTGAAAATATTTAAGATTTTTTATATCCTGCTCAGTTCAAAATTTAAAACACCTACAATGTTCCCAAATTTTAAAATTCTAATTATATTATTTACTGGTAGCAATATGATTTTTTTTTTAAAAAAAAGAAAAAGTACATAAGCAAAAAATTTACTGCAAAATTTACTATATACTGTTGAAACTCCCAAAATTGATCTTCTCAGAACTGATAATCTGTCAAATCTGAAAGAAAATTAATCTACCAAATCCATTTCCGTTATATAGATCTAATATTTTATAATGTTTTCAAATCGGATAATCTCCCAATACTGATACAAAATCTGTCCACCATTGCATATCGGTCAACTGTAATTAAGTTTAAATTGCAGCAGCAGCGGCAGCCTCTTCCTCTTCTTTAAGCAATTGCTCACCTTTCTTTTGCTTATATCTTGAATAAAGAACGGTAAATAAAGCTAAACAACCCAACCAACTATAAAGAAAAATATTTCCATAATAAACTGCATCGTCAACTGTTGGAGAGCGAAAAACAATGATAACACGAACTAACTTCAATAAGTAATCCAAATCCCCAAACAGCAGTTAGGACAATAAATGTTTGTCGAAACCTAGGATAAGATCTCCAATACCTTTCGATCAGGTATAGGTTCATCTTCTGTTAAACCTTTAAGGTTTGCCATTCCTAAATTTTTGGCATTATAATATATTAATGGTCGCATTTCGAATGAACCAATTTTGATCGGAATCAAAGTGATTATAAATGATAAACCGAATACACCAGTAAAAAATGAATCTCGTAGTAAAAATATTCTCGGATCACCCTCAATTACAGATAATATAATTCCGACAATGAATCCAATTACAACGAGCAAACCTATCAAGTTAACTTGTCTACGAAAGATAAAACCAATTATAACTGAAATTGTTGGTGGGACACCTGATATAACTAGTGCCCAGATTGTTGGTAGATATTTTGAAAGGACAAAATAAAGAATAAGTGGTAAACCGATATCGACAAACAGCATTAATAACAATTGTAACATCATTGCTTTTTTATTTTTTTGAGTTGATTCAATCTTCGATGATTGAATTACATGAGCTTCGTTATCTGTTCGATTAGAATCTTCAAGGTGTGACATTGTGTTTCTTTTAAAAATTTATTGGTCTGTATAATTATAATGTTTATAATGTTTAAGGTTATTAGTGAATATAGTTATATTATTTCACTTTGTAAATAGGCTATAAAATTTTTCATAGCCTGAATTTATAGGTGATCGAAGAATTTACATGTGCCAAGCTTTTTACAATTAGTTATGGCAAGGGAGTTTACCAATATAGTTAAGGTGTAACGTATAATGTAGCCGTAACTTATGTAGTAATTTACGTTGTAACATAAAGTGTTCGACAAACTTTTTAATAGCAAGCTTGTTAAACTGTTTCCAGCAATTTTGGGTTTAAGAAAGTGTTACGACTCGGAGTATTTTTTAAACCTAAAATCATCAATGAATGTTTAACTGTTTCACGATTAATAATTTGAATTTAAAAAAGTACATCGAACTCTAGCATTCGTATAAGCCTTAAATTCATTGAAAGCGGCATGACTACTCTTAAAAAATAAAAGCGTTGTTCTGTACGTACGTACATGATAATGAATGATCGTTTCCTTTTGTAAATTCAATTTTTGTTACCACAATATTAAACGAGTAAATTTCAAGAACTATTAATCCGTTGTCAATGATTTTGGACATAAATAAATTTTAAGATTTGTAATAATGAATTAGCTATTATCAAATTATGTAATAATATTTTCTAATTACAATCGCACCTCCCTAAGTACATCCTCTCGGGACCATAATGAAAAAATTACAAAATTTGTACTTGGAGAGGGATTGCACTTATAGAGTGTAAAATTCATAGAGCTCCTATGAGTTGGGACCAGACTGTATCATGCATTAGAGAGGGGTTCAAATATTATTTCATTTAGGGGTATGCAGTCGGGGTACGGCTGTATTTTGTTCCATATACAGTCAGATCTCCTTAAATACAACACATTGGGGTCAAACTTTAAATAAAATGCATTTAGAAAACAATAAGAAAAATTGCATTTATGGGGATTGGAAATATATTTGGGCTAAACTTGGGATTGTGTTTAGGGGTTGCATATAAAGATATCTGACAGCACTAATAAATAAGGTAGTTGCAAGACACTGCCGCACACAAAACCAGTAATGTAATTTATGAAATAACTTGATCAGATACATGAAGTACACTGAGTTTAAATTGTGAATAATACGTGGAAATTTTGCTTGATTATTATTATTTAAAATTTAATTCGATCATTTTATGTGATATTGCGTAATTGCCGGTATTATCCCTCTGACATCAATTTCGTACAAAAGGACATTTAAATTCGTACAAAATGACGGTCAGATCTGTACAACAATTAAATAAGTTTGATTAAATTATAATATCGTGATCCAATTTAGGTGATTTTGATATCATTCGAATCGTCTCGTTAAGAGGATTCGAATAGTACTAAAATAATCTAAATTGGATCAATAAATCACAAGATATCCCAGTTTGATCAAACTTATTTTAATTGTCATTTTGTACAAATTTGAATTTTGTACGAAATTAAGTGTCATTTTGTACGAAATTGATGTCATAAGGGATAAAATATAAATAAGGACTATATCATTTCACCAATAACTGGGGTGCTAGGTATCAAATAATTTACTATCATAATAATCAGCACTACCGTATTTGTGCGTAATAATACGCAGGGGTTTAATTTTGAATTTCAGTCTAAATTAAACTTAATCCGGGCCATGGTTCAAAATAACGCCCCGGCCTGCTATTGCACGCAAATACGGCATATGATTAGATCACTATATGAGTTTGTTCAAAGGGAAAACCTATCATCGGGCTTTCAATTATATTTTGTACCGGATACAATCTATTTAATTTATTAGGGAATATGTCTGATACAAAATATAATTGAAAGCTCGATGACAGGTTTTCACTTGAATACATAAGATTTTTAAAATTTTGACCGATCAATTTTTTTTAAAAAAATAATTTATCATAGTAATTTTATAATAGACTAGTGCGATAGGTGGCGCGAAGCGTCACCCATCTTATACAGAATTCAACAGCTATCACAATATGTTATTAGGATCTATTAGAATTATTGTAATTTCTAATTATCTGAAAAAAATTGTCACAATTTCTACTATTAATAATTGTTAAAAGTTCTGTTGCTAAACTTTTCACTCCAGTGACCGTGATACGTGGTTATAAATGAGTTGACATTACCCGGATTTGATTTATACCCGAAATTTACCGGGATTCTATGGAAATGACCAGGAATTTGTATATGGGTTGTTCCGAAAAATGAGCATTTTCCGAAACGATAATGGAATGATAATTTGGAGAAAGTCGGATACGCTTTTCAAAACTTTTTATAGGGTCATGAGCTACTATAAAAAATTCTATTAAAAATCTTGCTCACTATTCTTTTTCCATAGAATGTGATTAAGGTCGCACCGGAATTATCGTGAGATTTGTAATATTATTGTAAAAAAATTTTTTTTTACAAAACTTAATCACTATTCCAATAGCAAATAATATGTAGTCAAGGCTGAATTGATTAGCATTGAAAAATTTTGTTACAAAACTTTCGCTTTTTTAGTGGCCACAGTATCTGATTAAGGCTGAGTTAGGTTTATTGAAATTATTGTGATTTCTATGTAGTTAAGGTTGAGTCAGTATTTGAATTATCATAATTTTATTGTAGGTTGCTGTATAAGTTTGTACAGAACCGGAACCTACTTTTTCGGGCACTCGGATAATGTGTACAAAGTTTGTGACGCAGATATCCTGTACTACAAATCAGATTTCAAGAGTAGGTGTAACGTAGCACGATCAGAAAGATTCAACGTTCGTTCTGCCAAAAATCGCTCATAACTCAAAAATCATCATAATTAACCGCCTTTAGCGCTCTAATAAAAAGATTTCACTGGGAAATTTTACTATATAAAACACACCCTAATCCTGCCCTAATCCTAAACAACGAAATTTAAAAATTTTGCCTGCAACCTAGAAAAAACAAAATATTATCAGAACTTACCATATATAGAATTACGAATTTAAGATTAGCTAATAATAAGAATTTCAATTTACCTGTTTTTCCTGTCTTAACAGTTGGCACGAATTCTACTTGAATGTTAACCATTATAAAAATAGCTATGACCAAAAACAAAAGAAAATCACGTACTCGAAACATCTACAAAGTTGAGAATTTTTCAGTTTTATATAGAAATTCCGAAACAAAGAAAAAATATATTTTTTCTTCTATTAATCGAATATTTCATCATTTTTTGTGATTATACCATGCTGTCTTTCTTTTAGAGTATGTTATATAAGATTTGTACTGTTATTTTCTTTTTTGAAACTTATCTTCTTGAAAAAACATTGAGCTCTTATAGCATTGATAACGTTACTATTTTACAAATTAATTGCTCTTCTCATTTGTTCAAATGATGAAGCTTTGAATTTATTAGCTAATTAATAATTGTATGCACAAAATATAAATTTCGATAATGATAAAGTTCAATATATATTTTTTTATTCAACTTGCTACGCCATTATTAATAACCAAATAAAGTTATTGACTGCATTTAATTCATTACTAATTAATTGGATTGCATTTAGATTTCATTGTTAAATTAATTAGGCAAAGAATTCAAATTTGTAAAATTTCTAAAACCAGTGACTCTAAAATTGTAAATATTTTGTTATGGCGTGAGAATTGACATTTTTGATGCCACACATTTGTTAATAAGCTTAAGCTGCTTACTTTATTATTATTTGTAAAGATCGGTCTATGCATTTATGCAAGAGAAATGGATCATAGCAAACTTGGCATATAATTGATTAATGTAAACAAGTTTAGCACGGAGGTTTAAAATAAATTCCAGTAATTAAAATTTTGCAATACAGTATAAAAAAAAAAATTTTAACCCCTCGTTACTTTAAAGATTGTGCATTTATTCTATTGTTTTGATTTCCTGATTTGCCCGAGTTTTTTTGCGTAATTCAATGAGTCAGTGCATGAAGCTAGTGATAGATTTGTCTTCTTCGTAAAGAACGGAACTGGACCGTAAAGTATCAAAGACCGAATAATACCTTCTTTCATAAATTTAGCCAATCAAATCTTTAGAATATACAACTCATGACATCCGATATATTTGAATATTTTGGTCTTTAAAATTTGTCATGCATATTTTCAATAGCTGATTAAAAAAGGCTTCAAACGTTGAATTGGTTTGTAAAAATATTTTTTTCATTTTAAATTAATATCTAATACCAATAAAAGTAATATAATTTATTCAAAGAATTAAATAAACAATATAAATAAATGAATTACAAAAATATAAAAATACAGATATCTTAGAATATTTTATGAAATATGTGAAAGCTAAGAAACTTTTTTTTGAAGAAAATTAAAACATATCTAACAACATACAGTATAAATACAAACAAAATTTGAAATAATAAATAGTTAAATGGTTACAAACATACTAAATTTTAACCGTGACAACAAAACTTATTATAAAAATTTATCATTTAGCCTATTATATAATTAAGCATGATTTGGATTATCTTCTTCAAAACCTTTTCTTAGTGCCCAACAAGAATAAAAGCCAATAAATACACCTAAAATAGGAAACGAGTAAAAAAATATCCTATCGTTATCATCAACACCATTGTTGCAAACAATGATAATATGGATTAGCAATTCAAGAAGGAATACAAATCCATAACCTGCCGTTACGATAACATGGTATCGTCGAAACGATGCAGAGCTTTTCCAATATCTTTCATAACACTCAGAAATAGATTCACCTTTCATCATCGTTAAACCTCTATATCTACCTATACTATTATATCTACTTATACCTAACAATTTACTACAATAAAATAAAACGGGCCGCATCTCAAAGGATCCAACCTTGATCGGAATTATAGAAATAACAAGTACCAAGCTGACTACACCAAATACGAATGACACTCCTAATGAATAAAATTTTGGAACATTTTGAAATGAAAACAATATAATTGCAGAAATCAGTGCGATTATACTAAGCATTCCTAAAACATCAAATTGCTTGCGAAAAATAAAATTAAAGATTATTGAAATAATTGGTGGGACAATTGATATAACTAATGCCCAGATAATCCATATATGTGTTGAAAGAGTATAATAAAAAATAAGTGGTAAACCGATATCGAAAATTATGATTAATAAAGTTTGTAAAAACGTTAATAGTTTATTCGAGGTTAATTCCTCAATTTGAGGATTCTCATTATCAGTTCGATTTGAACCATTTTCATTGAGATGAGACATTCTGTTTGTAAAAATTATATGTATTATAAGTATAATAAGAAGACGCTAATTTTAACGTTTAAAATGTATTGCATAATATGAGATACGGGACCACAATGTTTATCCACTTATACTGCAAAACAATCTAATATCAAACACTAGATTTAATTGCACTATATCCGACATTATATAAACATTGTTGCCTAGCAATATAACAAGTATGTATAAAATTCTATTATAATACTTACTTTAGAAGCAAATGTACTTTATTGCAACAACTTTAAAGGAAATTAGGAATAGACCTATATATCCGTACAGGAAACTCTTTTTAAGAAATTAGAAGCATTTTTATTTATCACTTTTATATAAATGTTTTATCTATTATTGTCAAGGCACGAAAAAAGTAAACGATTGAAGGTTTAGAATTTTCTTGTTAAAGTAACAAATTACTATAAGTGGTAATCATTCCTAATCGGGCTCGCATACTCCGCCAGACATTATAATGCTTAATTTTTAATTTCTTAATGCAGCAATAAATAACTGTTAATAGTTGTTTTGATAAATTCCGAATATTCATTGAGTAGCAATATCTAAAAAATTTCGTAATATCTGGTATATCACGGGTTTCTTGATATATTTGTGGCGGGTTAAACGTTCTACTGAAAATGTTCATAGTAGAGTTGCAGGTGAAACTAATTAATTTCACCAGTTTCACCAGTTTTACCTGGTGCACCATCGGTGCACCGTTGAAGATTAGCTTTATCCATAACTCTAGTTTTACTATCAGTGCACCAGTTTCACCTGGTGCACCGATGGTGCACTATTGAAGATTAGTTTCACCTGCAACTAGTGTACCCACAAAAAATTGTTCAAAAAAAAAAAGGGACAATTCAAATTCTAATCAAGAAACAACCTTCTGTGCCTGACTAAAATATTTATTGCAAAATAATATTAATGAAAACCAAGTTGGTTTAACCTATAGTTTGTTAGGCGAACCCTAGAGGTTACGCGTTAGCAAAAGTTGAATCTAGTTACAACTTAATCAAAAAAATTCTTGAAAAGACAAATGGCGGAAAAGATAGTAAAAAGCTGCTAAACGAATTAGAGATGCGATAAAGCTAATAAAATACTCCAAGACAAAATAAATGCGAAAATTTATTATCATAATTTTATAATATACTATTTGTTCTGTAAATTTTTATTCGTTATACAGTATATAGTTTGAAAACTCGATATACTAGATTAATCAATGATGTTTATTTACATGATTAAGCCTGATAATTTTATCGAAAACAAGATTAAGCACTATTTAAAAAGATCCGATTAGAACTTTGCTGATAATAAAGTTTTAAATTCTTTTTATAAAACCTTGCTTATTATAACATGAAGCTATTCGATATCTAATCTTTCCTAGAGATCTAGGGCACGTGGTGATCTAAAATTCGGGCATTAAGGTTAACAATCATATTCAATCATGTTAGGATACTGGTTTATAAAGTAAAATTGCTCAAAGATATATTTATAGCATTCAAAAGTCAATTTCTTATGTGAATTTTAAATTTTTTTTGATGTTTATTTTATCTATTTTTTTATTTTTTTTTTAAAAAAAATAAACATATTGAATTTTCTGATCATATTATATTATGACTAAATTTTTTGTCGGCTAATATGGGCGGTATTGATAATTAAGTTTCAAGTTATCGAACAACGAATGGCACATAATGTAATCAATTAAAATAATTAAGAAACAGTCGTGCATTTCTTTCTTATAGAATATAATACTGATTTGGGTATGCTTGGGCATGACTAAATATGTTTATACTCATCACCCTACATGTAAACTATGCTCGAAAAGTGCAAAATTTACCTATATACCAATAACGTGTCACTTACTTCAGGAATTTAGCAAATCAGCCTTCTGAATACACCTCGGGTTAGCTAAAATTTCTGCTAAATTAACCTCTTAAAATTTTGTCATACACATCTCATTCACTGATTGATTAATTTAATTGAGAAAAGGCTTCAAATACTGAATTTGTTCGTAACATCATGTTTTCTTTCTTTCTTTTTTTTTTTTTGACTTCAGTAGAAATGTGATCACAACATAAGCTTTAGCTAGTCATGGCTTGAGCCATAATAATTTCTGTTGCATCTCTAAACCTCAGCCTTAGCATTTAAGGATGTTAATTGGTTTGATCCTATTGATTGAATGATTGGTCTTATAAATATATAATAGTCTTACATTGACAAAATTAAATTTTATTTTCAGATTCTTTACTGTAACAAATAAAATAAATAAACAATAAAAAATTCGCGGAAAACGTGGATTATCTGAAGAAAATAGATTAATATTATCAAACTTCAAAATAATAAAAAGGAATTAACTAATTACAGCTATATTAAACCTCACATTGACAACTAGAAATCTACAAGCGAGTGCAAACTTTAAAGAATAATAAATGTAATAATTGGTAAATTTAAAAAAATATATGCATAAGCATATAATTGATTAAAAAAAGATTTATTATACAATTAGACAAGACAAGTCTTTTCTTTAAGTCATTTTCTTTGTACCAATATAGTATAAACGGAAACGTGTAAAAAAGAGTTCCATTATTAATATCAACTTATTTGCATTGTAAACAATGATAATACGAATCCAATACAGATTATCCGGATTGGAACTTTATATTCAACTCTCCAGATCTCCAGTAATTTCTAAAATACTTATTTTAAAAACCATTCGGTACAATCCATATCGTGTATTTTATACATTTTATATCCTTGCTTTATCGTACGGGTCTTATGTAACAACCTGTGTTTTTTTTTGAAAGCTTATTCTCACGGGCATATATGAAAATATATATACCCGTGCGAATGAGTTATTTTTCGTAAAATGCATAGGCTAACTTCTCTAAATATGAGATTATAAAAAATTAATTTTAGAGTTAACTTTCTAGCACTCTTCTATAGCTAGAAATGATATTTGCTTGTGTAATTTTACGTCCTTAAAAAGTACTTTAAAGTGTATAAATAAGTTATCCGGGCATCTGATTTACATTAGCCAATCAAACGAATTTCTGTCTATGAACCATATGTAGGGTTCTGTGAATGCCCATGCCCGGTGTTACAAAAATTTTGTGTTTAAACTTTCTTTGTTGTGTTTCTATATTGTATTGGTATATTTATTGGCGCTATTGTTATGGATGGTTTAAACCCGCAGATATTGGTCTAGGACCATGAATCTTAGTTTAAGATCATGGATCTTGGTTCGAGATCACAGATCTTGGCTTCAGACCACGATCATTTGAAATGTATAATTATGATGGCTAAACTAATAAAGATAGAACTATCGGAGAGGATTCCGCTTGAGTCATAAATGAAGTAATAAATAAAGTACCTTATGAATCATATACAAACTAAATACATTCCTTAATAACCCGCTATCATTAAATCCGAATCCTTTATAAACATTCATCTCGCATAATCTATGTTTGTAATCTGAGCTAATTTAGCCAAATCTCTCTCATGGTTACAACACCGGCATATTGGCGGTACTAGCGCCTTATGCCAATACCTATGCCTATAGACACAGAAGGGCATAAAATACTATGCACTGTTAAAGGTGTGGGCACAAAGTGCTAAGCACCATGCACAAGATGCAGACACAAATGCCGGGCACGATTAAATACCAAGTTTTTGTGCCTGTGCCGATGCATATTCCTATGCCAAGTTTTTCTAAATTTTCATGCCTATGTCCATACCTAGATTTTTTTGGACACAGGCATGTGCCCGGTCTGTAGAATCCCAGCTATATACAGTATAAGTTTAACCATACAGCAAATTTAAACAGATTCAATTTAAATGTTGATCACCGAATGTTATGATAGATGTAGTATTGGTCACATAATCACCTATCTTATCATGTAATATTTGCGTACTGTTTCCTGAATTGCTGTAAACCATATATTTCGTTACACTTTATTTCATAACTATGTTCCTCCTAGTATTGATGAAATTGAGACGTTAATAAAATTGAGATCTTCGTAAAGATTTTTTTTAAAATAATGATTTAGAAGTTTCAGCTATGTTGATATGAAGTTTTTAAATCAATTAAGAACAGCGAGAATCTACTAAAGTCTATTTTATTTATTTCTTTATAACAAAGTCGATTACTATGAAATTTACATTGATTGCTACTAATATCAATTATAAAGTAATATTTTATAAAGATTTAGTTATATTTAGCATAGCTGGTAAATAAAAAGTTTAGTATAGGCGGCTGGAAAAAATAATGCTCATTAATAATCTGAATATCGCCTTCACTGAAGATGATTATTACTGGTCGCCAACCACTTATATTAAAGATTACTCAAAAAGTTCTGGTAATGGTTTTATCCCAACTGAGACCTAAAAAAGTTAAAGTAACGTTTCTACAAAGAGCTTCTGTTAACACCTTTTCTCCTTCAGAGCCAAGTTCATTACCGCGAAGAGACAAGGAGGTTAGATTAGTATTTATACAAAGAGCTTCTGCCAATTCTTTGCTTTCATTAATGCCAAGTTGACTTTTACTAAGAGCTAAAGAGGTTAAAGCGATATTTTTGCAAAGAGCTTCTGCTATCACTTTTACTCCTTTAAAGTCAATTTCATTATTTCCAATATTTAGAGAAGTTAGCACATTGTTCTTATAAAGTGCTTCTACTATCATTATTACTCCCTCAGAACCGAGTTTATTAGAATAGAGTTTCAAGGAGGTCAATGATGTGTTTCTATAAAGAATTTCTGCCAATGCTTTGCCTCCTTTAACTCCAAGCTTATTACAACTAAGATCCAAAGTTGTTAAAGTGGTATTTTTGTAAAGAGCCTCTGCAAGTTCTTCTATTCCTTCATCTCCAAGCTTATTAGCGGAAAGATTTAGAGAAACTAGAGTTGTATTCTCATAAAGAACCACTGCTAATGCCTTTGCTTCCTTAGAACCAAGTTCACAGTCACGAAGTTTTAATGAGGTCATACAAGTATTC